TACAGCTTTGGGTTAACCAGTGTTGATTATTCTGGAAATGATATTGGTTCTATGAATAGTACATCCATTCCTTGGAAAGGTAGGTATGCAATAATATGATTGGTAATTGTTAAAGTTTATTTTGTTTAGAGCCTAAAATATCTGTTGATACAAATGTTAACAACAATATTGCCAACTTTACAATTAGGGTAAAATAAAGTGACGTGTAGTTGATATTTATTTTAATATTAAAGTGATGTGTGTACTAATGTCATTGTGTCACTTTTCTTAAGTAACCTGTAATACAATAGAAATAAACTGTTGATGTACATATCCTAGTCTATCACTAGGACACACTGGACTATAAAATGGAGAGGTTTGAACCAATGTTACTGCAGATAGTACAATAAGTTAATTAAGATCAACACCAGTAGATACCAGTGCAGTAGCCATTATAGTATAAAAGGAATGAGAACTGAGCAGTTTATGCAAGAATAAACAATAAAATGTTTACTCAGGACAATGATATTATTGACTTCCAATAACTGTGTTGCTGTTGTTCTTTTTTGCTATTAGCTACACGTATAAACATTAAATGCAATGTGTGTGTAACACAAATGTAAGTACACAGCTTTAAATAGTTCATATCAAAAGAGACTATGCTACATCATTATTTGTCCATATGCATCATTATTATGTACATTAATTATATCTTTATTAATAATTGGTCCATAAGCAGTATTAGCCTGTAGTTCCATTGGTGTATCATATATTGGTACTCCAGTAGTAGTAGTTGTTTTAACAATGATCTCATCATATGTAGGAGTAACTGCTCCATCAGTACTGATCCTAATGTGTGTTTGATCATAATATTAATGATAATTGTTATTTAATAACTTGCTTTTTAGATGTTCTGTTAGTATCTGCATGTAGTAGAAAAGATGATAAAAATCAAACCAATAAAGCACTTACTTTTTTGTTTCTTGATCACCAGTATTATTATTAGTGCTATAATTATTATTATTATTATAACAAATACTGTTCCAATAGCTCCTGATATAATAGGAACAGCATTAGAACCAGCAGCAGTACTGGTACTGGGTGGTATCATAGTTGATAATGTCAGTGTTGATGTAACAGTTGTAGGAGCAGTAGTGAATCCGGTGGTAGATGATGAGCTTGTTACTGTATTAGTATATGTGACCATAATTGACAAAAGGTACCTTATGGCGGGTAGTGAATTTTGTCTTTCTAGCCTAAGAAATCCAACTTCCTGAGCCCCATTTATCATAAAATTACTCCACAGGATGCAAAAAGTTACCATGAAACTTTTAGAAACAATGATTGTCTAACAAAGCACTCACAGGTTGATATTTTCCATTATAACAATCAATTTTAAAATCCACCATAAGGGCCATTTTGTCAATTATGGTCACATATGATGATGAGTCAGTGCTGGAAGCTGATACTGTAACTATTTATCATACTTAATATTAAACCTACTTGAAGTAGATGGTATATACAATACTGGTGTACTGGTACTTATATCAGTAGTTAATGTAACTAATAATGTACAATATGTGTATTGATGAATAATGTATTAATGAATACAGACCTGATGATGACATAATTGTAATTGAACTACTGGTCATTGTAACAGTTATACTGACTACAGAATATTTAATGATATATAATAAATAAATCAATGATATACAATATGGTACAATAAAACTATCATACCATTAACAGTAGCTGGAGGTCCATATCCAATAATATTAACAGGAATGATAGTAACAGTGTAGTATTCATTAATGTTAGGAGATAATCCAGTAATGATGATATTAGTATTATTAGTATGTTGTTCATCTGTTGTATTGATGATATTAACAATGTAATAGCTAGTAGGAGGACGTGGCATAGCAGAATCCTATTGTATTATAGTATTGACTAATGATATATTAACATACCTGAGTGTTATTCCACCATATTGTAATAGTATCAGTTGATATCTGATCCCAACTAATATTAACAACTTGAGCTGGTACTATAAGAAATACAATGAGTGTGTGTGTGTGTATAGTACTTACCATTCCATATATACTGTATTAATGATGAAGGAGGTCCTTCTCTTCCAATAGTATCAATAGGAATAATAATAAATGAATAATTAGTACCAATAATAAGAGAAGTAATTGTTATATTAGTGTTGTCAGTAGTCCTGGATTCATTAAGTGTATTGTTACTATTAATAGTAACAGTATAGTGGACTATACACAGCTCTGATGTATTCCAAGTAATAATTAATGTATCATTAGTGATAGGAATAATACTTATATCATTAACTGCTTCTGATGGTTTATCTATTAAAAAATAATGCATAATAAAAATACTACTGATCATACCTGGATAATTAATGTACATTCTTCGATATGATGCTCCTCCATTTTCAGAACAATCAATACTAGTTCCATTTAATGATACTGGAGCACTAGTATTAATGGCTGTACTGACTAATTCTGAGCCTTCTTGATTTCCATTCAGTAGAAAACTACCAAGTGTTTTAGGATTTCCATCATTAGTTATAAAGGCACTTTGTGCATTGTTCCCATTTAATCTCCATATAACAGATCCATGAGTATTAATACTAGTCACACAAGTAAACACTAGTTCAACTCCAGGACACACAACAGACTGTTCAGATGCTAATGACATTATGATGATAGTCAGTAGATTTATAGAAACTTACCAGATAAAGCAAGACTGATACATCTAGTCAATACAAGACACCAGTAGATACCAGTAGTAGTAGCCATTAGTGAGAGGAATGAGAACTGAACAGTTTATACTATTGGAATATATAAACAATAAACTGTTTATTAGGACAAGAGTGTGTTTGTATGATGTTTGATGTGCATGACTGTTAATTATTATTATCATAATAATAGTACAACCATACTGCATATGTAGTATATTATTATGGTACAAACTTCAAAATGTATAATTATTTATGTTACATCATTATTTGTCCATATGCATCATTATTATGTACATTAATTATATCTTTATTAATAACATCATAAGCAGTATTAGCCTGTAGTTCCATTGGTGTATCATATATTGGTACTCCAGTAGTAGTAGTTGGTCTAACAATGATCTCATCATATGTAGGAGTAACTGCTCCATCAGTACTACTAAAAGCTTCCTTTTTAGATATTTTATATTTTTTTCCTGTATACATAATAGCAAAATAGCAATAATTAAAAGTGATTATAGTAATCAAACTTACTTCTTTGTTTCTTGATTGCCAGTATCACTAACACCAATATAATAATAATTATTATTATAACAAATACTGTTCCAATAGCTCCTGATATAATAAGAACAGCATTAGAACCAGCAGCAGTAGTTGATACAGTTGTTGTTGATAGCGTACTCATAGTAGTAGTAATTCCAGCTGATGTACCAGTAGCTGAAATGAATGAAGATGATTGTTCATAAATTGTTGAAGACCCTACATAACTATTATTAATTAATGGTATAAAGCTATATTAGCACTTACTTAAAGTAGATGATGTATATCTTACTGATGTACTGGCACTAATATCAGTTAATGTAACTAATAATATGCAATAATAGTGTATTAATGAATTAAGTGTACAGACCTGATGATGGAGTATTAGTAACTGAACTAGTACTGGTTACTGTAGGAGTTATACTGGCTACACTGACTATTATTAATAATAACATCAATAGTGAATAATGTATAACATAACTGTACCATTAACAGTAGCTGATGGTCCATATCCAATAATATTAACAGGAATGATAGTAACAGTGTAGTTTGTATCAGTGAGAGGTAGTCCAGTGATAGTAATATTAGTATTACTAGTATTAATATTGTATATAATACTGTTTGATGTATTGTATACAGTAATAATGTAATACTGAATAGGAGGAACTGGTATAGTAGAAATAGAATAGTCCTAAATAATTTATTATCAGTAATAATAATAATTAATAATATTTAAAGTTTTAAACATACTTGAGTGTTATTCCACCATATTGTAATACTATCAGTTGATATCTGATCCCAACTAATATTAACAACTTGAGCTGGTACTATAAGAAATACAATGAGTGTGTGTGTGTGTATAGTACTTACCATTCCATATATACTGTATTAATGATGAAGGAGGTCCTTCTCTTCCAATAGTATCAATAGGAATAATAATAAATGAATAATTAGTACCAATAATAAGAGTATTAATAGTTATATTAGTGTTGTCAGTAGTCCTGGATTCATTATGAGTATTGTTACTATTAATAGTAACAGTGTAGTTGGCTATACATTGTTCTTGTACTGCATTCCAATTAACTAATAAAGCATCATCATCAGTTATACCAATAGTGACATTACTAACTACTGTTGGTGGACCTATGGAGTCACATTAACATAAAAGTATATGCTATGATAATGATAAGTTTAACCTGATATATTAATAATTGTATCTTCTATTTGTGATGAAACTCTACAACCAACTCTTACTCCATTAGCAGACAATGGAATAGAGTCACTAGTAGCAGTAATTACTATTGCAGTACTGTTGATTAGTGTAAGTACTGAGAAGCTACCCAATGATTGTACAGTATTATTGAAGATTGCATCAAATGCCTTAGAATTATCTGATCGCCAGTATATTTCTTCTGTACCATGAGTGAGATCAAATACACAAGTCAGTACTAGTTCATCATTAGGACACACTGGAGAATAAGGTGGAGAGGTTTGAGTCAATACTCCAGTTGCTGTGTATAGCAATTAATGCAATAAGTAAGATCATAATAAACTTACCAGATACAATCATACATCCAGTCAACACAAGACACCAGTAGATACCAGCAACAGTAGCCATTAGTGGGAGTTATTCTACACTCACTGCCACACCTTAACATTATGACATTCCTATGATAACATATAAATGAGCATACAGTATATTATATGTTTGCTGTGTGCTCATTGCAGTATGCTGTATACTCTGTTTCTCTCTGTTTAATTGAGTGTGTTTTTGTTATAGACATTGCTGCATAGGCGAGCTAACTTTGTCTGCCTGTCTTTTCATTTATTGTTATTGTATCAGCTCTGCCTATTGTTGTTGTTTCATGATCAGCAGCTTCTTGTGTACTACTCTCTTGTCTTCTCCAGTTGGTGCTATTATTCTATTTCATTAGTTGTTCTATTGTGTTCTAGTTATTGTTGTTGATGTTCAGTTCAGTACACATTCATTACATTATCATAAACAATGGATTGTGTATTGAGACTAATTGACAATAACATGATGGTAAAATTAATGAACTGATTTTATACAAATAACAGCTAAAGCATTCACATACTGACCTAGAATAATGACAATACCTTTAAGTACTAGTGGTGAGTAGACAGTGATATTTCCTGCCAGATACATATACATGTTCTTATGATGTGTAAAAAGTTTAAGCTGATTCCAATCAAGGTGTCCAGGCAGTCCAGCAGAGACAGGTTTGACAGTACATGCAGTACATCATGAAAGTACATGTAGTATTTATTGTAAGATCTATAATAACAGATTATCAGTCATTATGGCAGCTAGACTATAGTCACTATTATGGCTGTTGTTGCATCATTTTTGAAATGATACCATTTGAGAGCCATATGAATATATGAATGATATCCTGTTACCCTGCTAAAGCCCAGTCCATGAATATTGTTCATCTTCTTTTGAACAGGTTAGTGAGGTGTGTCTATTTTTTAAGAGATGGTATTGCTTCTACTTTTGTTCTCAGTTTCTTCAGTTGGTTAGTACTAGTATATATAGATCTATATATTTTATTTCAGTTATACCATTAATGTTTCACTAGCAGCTTGGTGGTGAGCTCTATACTTATGGCTATATGCTTGTATTCAATGTGTAGACAATTCGACAATTTGACCCTTCAAACCCCTGCCCTTTTTTTATCTGTTGCATGTCTCTTAGTGTGCTTAATTTAAAAGTTTATAAACCCAAACTTACTTATGCTTTGTAGAAAGTTTGAGCTGATTTCGACTAAAACTTTTTGAGTAATTTTCAAAAAAATAGCTCCAAAATCACCCCAAATTTCTATTACAATAATAATAATAATAATTGTATGACAGGTAGCAAGCCCTTTATTGTTTTACATTCATCTAATAGCAATATGTTTGCTAATTAAAAGAAATAGAATGCTAATAGTTTTTTAATAGCAATATGTGTGTCAGGGTTTAAGCAAACTATACATTAGCTACTGTTACCTCTTTATAATTTAACACTAAAAGCCTTAATGTGCATCAATGTGCATTACTTTTTCCAGTGTGAAAAGGCCTGATATCTATTTTAACCTATACAAAGTATTATTAGTGTATGTTGCTATATTAAGTCTGATTCACACTCACCACAAAATGTAATGCAAAATAAAAAAATAACCAAACAAATTTACAACCACCTCAGGTGATGCTGGCTTGTAGTGTATATAGACTCATTGTTCATAAAGGAATAGGCTAATTTTGGAATATTATGTGCTTACTTCATTTTAATTTTCTATTGTTTGACTATTATATTATTTTATTTTCATTAGCTGGTGTGGAACTATTGCCGTCTAATGATGAGTTTTGTTTAGGCTCCATAGCCAATTGGACTTGTACTGTGAATGGGAGTGCTATAGGATGGGTTTATAATACCTCCGACTCTCACTTTTATTCAACAAATGAGACTAATGTGACACTTCTAGGATCAGGTCCATTTAAAACTGGACCTACTATTATTTCTGGTGGTGTATCTACCTCAATGGCTACTGCTAACTTGTCCAACAATGCTCTAAATGGGACAAGTCTTGAATGTCAGGATGATGGTGGTGTGAATTCAGCAAATGTTTCATTAAACTTAAAAGGTATAAGATATTATCCTTGTGTCCATACATTGCTTTACTTGTAAGTTTACACATGTTGATTAATGCAATGGGCAAAAAGTGGCAGATCCTGGGAGGATTTCTATTTTATTGTATTGTATAATAGTTAGTACAACATACCGTATAATGCTTTAATTTGACGGAGTTTTATTTTGGTGATTGGCAGTCTGCAAACAGAATTGCCAATATTAAAACCACCAATCATTAATGCGCATGCTCAGTAATGCACATGTACACAAAAATTGCCAAATTAAAAACCACCAATTACAATTTTACAGCAAAATCACCAAAATAAAGCGATACACAGTAAGTTTTTTAAAATCATTTTATTTTTAGATTCTCTGGCATCTACTTCAGTTGAAGTCCGATT